TGTAAAAGTTCTAAACACCTCAATTAAAAGTCAGAGATTGTCAGATGGGATAAAAAAGCAAGACCCAACTTTATGCTATCTATAAGAAACTCTTAAAACATAAGAATACAAAGGTTAAAAACAACAGGATGGAAAAAGACATACCATACATCCATGAATCAAAGAAAGCTAGAGTGACTATATTAAAACCAGACAAAGCAGACTTTAGAACAAGGAATACCAAGAATAAGAGAGACATTTAATAATAATAAAAGAGTCATTTCATCAAGAGGATTTAACAATTCATTAAGAAAAACAATGAATTGATTACCATAAAAATCAGGATAACACCTATGAAAGAAGGGAAAGGTCACAATTGAAAAGGAAATTTTGATAATGTTCTATTTCTTGACCTCCTTTTCAACATCTAAATTTATATTTTATGTGATTTTCTATTTAAGTATTAATATTATATCTCATAATTAAAGGAGGTTTTTTTAAGCTTAGGTTCATATGGATATTAAGGTGAGATAAACAGATATGAACACTAAGAAAGCTAAACTCAGGCTACTTCTGAGGTAGCTGCCATCAGAACATGGCAGAGCCCCTAAATGAAACTACCCAAACAAATGTAAAGTTAATCGCAGAGTACTGCAATTCATATAAAAATGAAACAAACACACATATAAAACAGCCCATGTATTCAACATATTATTGATGTTACTATATATGTATGTTAATATATATAATATATATGAAAGACTTAGGCAACAAAGAGTCAAGAAAGCCAGCACTCATACAGTCTTCATTGAAATTTTCCAAAATTAAAGATATAGACTCATTTGTCAATAAGATTAAAGTATATGTGAAATTTTGAGCACAAGAAAACCACAAACAAATTAAAATGGGCCAGACACGGTGACTCACACCTATATCCCTTGGCACTTTGGGGGGCCAAGGTTGAAGGATCACTTGAAGCCAGGAGTTTGTTACCAGCCAAGGCAATACAGTGAGACCTTGTCTTTATAAAAAAAAAATGTTAATAAATAAATGAAACCATTTTTTAAAAAATTAAAATGTTTATAATGATAAGGTCCATGACAAAAGGGACTTATCTGTTTTATTCAGAGCTGTATGTCTTATGTTTATAGTTAGGGGGACCAACCATCCAAGTTTGCCCAGGACATAGGACTTTTAGTACTAGGACAGCCTCAGACAAATGAGGATGATGGGTCACCCTATCATAGTGCCCTGCATAGTAAACAACAAATATAGAATTAACAAGTGATATTCTTAACTGCACCTTTAGTCATTTATTAATATGACTTTCTTATGTATGGCAAATTTGCATATATGATAGTCAGTGAAGATATAATGATGAATAAGATAAGACCTTGGCCTCAAATAGTGGGGAAGCCAGACAAACAAACAATTATTATACTACGAAAAGCACTCCTAATAATTTTGACATAAAATATAGAAAAAAAGAGTATTCTGGGGAATTAAGGTTGGTAGAGTTTGATTTGGGACACTTGGATATGTTGACATGTGAAGCGCCAACTACAAATGATAAGTCAAACTGACAAAAGAAATTAAGAATATAGAAGAGGAAAAGATGTGAGAAGAAAGAAATGAGTTTAGTTTGGGACATATTGAGTTTGAGGTACCCACAGCAGATGATAAATCAAACTGGCATGAAGCGATAAAAGTCAGTCCATTCTGAGAAAGAAGGTAGACACTATGTGATTAAAGGACAAGTTCAATACAAAGAAAAGGGCATTTTTCACATATAAGCAATAACTAGGTTTTTGAAACATGTACTCATCTTCAGGTATATCAACATATATAGTAATCACATACATATCATTTATTTAAACTTAAATAAAGATAGATTGCATTCCCTGATGCAACCTCCCTATATTCTGATTGGCTAATAAGATAAAATCGTCATTGTTGGCATAAGCACATAGGCATGTATACAAGACTGTGGATAACTAATTCTTCTGTGGCAGATAAAGCTAACGACTCCCCATTGAAGAAAAAATTTGGGAAAGAATATAATTAGGAGATGATGTCACCCGGCTTATATAACTAATAGAGAACCAATATAGATAACCAACATATGGCTAATGTGGGGTGTCATTTATTATGCAGATAAGTTCAAAAAGCAATGAAATACTACTTAGCACAGTAATGACAGGAGCGGTCACATTAAAAGGAATAAGTTTTTATCACATTATACCAGGCTGGTTGTCTCTGGGGAAATTTTGATAAGAGATGTTTGCTTCTCAGATAATTGTGAGAAAATCAGGCACAGCTCTCACTCTCACTAATCTGGAATTTGAGTATCCATTATCTCTCCCACTTTGTGAGAGCAGAAAGCAGAGCAGTGTAGGCCCATCCCTTTCAGTTTGCAGGGATACAGTAGAAGAGATTCTCCCTGATCAAACGGCCTAAGGCCAAAGACATGGGGTTTAAAATTAATGTGGAAAGAATTTCCTAAGGAAAATGCAAGGACAGTGCACTGGAGTATTAACCAAGCAGGCTATACAGTAAGAGGAGAGTGGTGGTTAGGACAGACAAAGCTTGGGAATAAAGAGTATCTGCATCTAGGGGTCTAAGTTTCTCTCTTCTTGTGAAGGCAGGGGAAAAGAAGGGAGGGGAGGAGGGGAAGAGGAGGGAGGGAGAGAAGGGAGGGGAAGGAGGGGAGAGTGGGAGGGAGGGGAGAAGGGGAAGACAAGGGGAAGAGAAGGGGAGTGGAGAGGAAGAGAAGGGGAGAGGAGAGGAGAGGAAGAGAAGTGGAAGAAGAGGAGAGAAGAGGAAGAGAAGGGGAAAAGAGGAGAGGAGAGGAAGAAAAGGGGGAGGGAGGGGAAGAGAGGAGAGGAGAGGAAGAAAAGGGGAAAGAGGGAAGGGGAAGGGGAGGGGAAGAGGAAGAGAAAGGGGAAAGAGAAAGGGAGGGAAGGAAGGGAGGGAGAGAGAAAGAGAGAAAGAAAGAAAGAGAAAGGGGAGGGGAGAGGGGGGGATAAAAAGAGAAAGAAAAGAAAAGAAAAGAAAGAAACATCTGTGGATAAGTAACAAAGACTACAAAAAACATAAATCCTTAAAAGTAAGCCAAGGTTCATTTTCAAAAGGCAATAGTTGTCTGGTAGAGCTAAGAAACCAAGGACGCCAATGAAGCATTCCAAATCAGGTTATGTAGCCAGAAAACAAGATACGGATTCCATTCAAAACACCATATAAAATATACACACAACCCCACACACACTAAGCTACAGATCATATAAAGTGAATCATACAAATTACCAGAGAGTGACCTGAAAATATGATGAAAGAGACATGAAAATATGATACCTAAACAGGAGAAAAGTCAATGAAAAGAAATGGATTTAGAAATGAGAGATGAAATCAGCAGATAAGAGTATTTAAATATTTATTAGAAATATTCTTCTTATATTCAACAAGGTAGAAGAAAGATGACCATCATGAGAAGATAAAGGTTTTTTAAAAAAAACCCAAATCAAATTTCTGAAATAAAAAATACACTGATGTAAAACTTAGCAAGCATGGTGGCACATGCCTGTAGTCCCAGCTACTCAGGAGGCTGAGGCAGAAGGATTGCTTGAGCTCAGGAGTTTGAGGTTGCTGTGAGCTAGGCTGATGCCACAGCACTCTAGCCTGGGCAACCCAGGGAGACTCTGTCTCAAAAAAAAAAAAAAAAAAACACACTGATGTGATAACAATAAAGTTTTATGTGGGCTAACACAAGACATTTTTTCTCATTCTTAGTCCCTTAAAAAACACAGATTCTCCTTAACTTATTGGTGGGGTTACTTCCAAATAAACCCATCATAATTTGAAAATCATAGTCAAAATTGCATTTAATACACCTAACCTACTGAACATCATAGCTTAGCCTAACAGACTTTAAACAATGTTAAGAACATGTACATTAGCTTAAATTTGGACAAAATCATCTAACATAAAAACTATTTTATAATAAAATGATGAATAGCTCATGTAATTTATTGTACTAAAAGTGAAAAACAGAATGGTTGTATGGATACTGTAAGTATGGTTTGTACTGAATGTATACAGTATACATAATGTATACATTCAGTAAAAATGGTTTTGTGCCATTGTAAAGTCAAAAAATTATAAGTAGAATCATTGTAAGTAAAGGATTGTCTGCAATGACTGCTCAAAGCAAAATAATCTCAATTTATTGTGGCATTATAGCAGATGTAGAAGTAAAATATATAACTACAGTCACACAAAGGATGAATCAGGGAAATGGAAGCACTCTTTGTGAGGCTCTATACTACATATGAAATGGTGTGATATTATTTGAAGTGACTGATAAATTAGAAATACAATATTGTAAACCCTAGGCAAACATTTAAAAATAAAACAAAGAGGTGTGCAAATAAACCAATGATGGACATAGAAAAAGAATTACTTTAAAGAAACTACTTATGCAACAAAGTAAGGAAAGAGGAAAAGAGAAACAAAGAACAGATAGAATAAATAGAAACCAAATAGCAAGAGAGCAAATTTAAACCCAACAAGATTAATAAAAGCTAAATGTAAAAGTTCTAAACACCTCAATTAAAAGTCAGAGATTGTCAATGGGATAAAAAAGCAAGACCCAACTTTATGCTATCTATAAGAAACTCTTAAAACATAAGAATACAAGGTTAAAAACAACAGGACATGCCTGTAGTCCCAGCTACTCGGGAGGCTGAGGCAGGAGGATTCCTTGAGCCCAGGAGTCTGAGGTTGCTGTGAGCTAGGCTGATGCTGATGCTGATGGTTTGTATTTTATATACAGATAATGAAAATACCTACTCATACAACCAACATCAAATACGCTTGCTTTCTATTATTCAAATTAAAAAATACAGATTGAAAAGCAAAGGAAGATAATATGAGGAGAAAAATATGACAAATGCCATTTTAGTCTATACAGGAAGAAAAGATGATTTTTATTAACTCACATATTTATAATATCTTTACAAATTTACCTGTTGTGCTTTTGAAACATTATAGTGTCCTGGACCTGGAACAGCTTTATCAATGTTAGAGGCAACAGCACCAGCACCTTCTCTGGTAGTCAAAGAAAGAAATGGTGCATAACTACCTACAAAAATAAAATCGTATCACTGGCAGATAAGAAGGATTCTAAGGATTTCAGAGAAAAACACACTCAAAATATATATAATCATGTAGTACTCTCAATTGTTGAAACTGTATTTTCAGAACTAAGGGCTACCCATAGAAGTTATTATATTTCTCAAAATCTGATATAAGATCAGAACTTTTATTAATATATATTAAATATAAGAACCTACAGAACTGGACTTACTGAACAACAGAAAAAAATACCTAAAGAAAATAAAAAACAAAATAAAAGCCTTTTGTCTTCTAATCATGCTTAGTTAAAATGAAAATGGCAGTATATAACTAACAAAACATTTCATCCTCAGAAGACCACTGTTTTAGATTTTGAAATATCATATATTATTTGTAGAAAACAGCATCTATAAACTTGTAAAGACAGCCTAGATGGAAAGAATTTAAAGTGGGTTTACATCAGGTAATTGATAATGTCTCCTTTCCTTGACACATAGTTGGTATTTAGTAAATATTTTTTGATTTCCTGACCCTAACCAAAGGCTTACAAATCCAAGACACAAATTTCACTGGAACAGGCAATTGTAAGATTATATAAACTTGGGTAGTCTACTGAAAGACCAACAAAAAAATTGAAGAACAATATTGAGAAAATTATACAGTTTAAGCAACATGTATAGATATTAAAGAAGAGATGGAAGAAAATAGAACAGATATATTCAACAGGTAATAAAAGAAAGACTCAAAACTTACACCCTAAATTTTGTACACTAGAAGGAAATGTGTGCAACTGTAAGAACTTATGGTGACAATTACTATAGCAAAAATCTTGATAATCTAAGCTAATAATAAAATATATTCTATTTAAAACTAGAAATATTATGTTTCTTTTAAGGCTCCCATATATTAAAATGCAACTGAAATCAAGAATTATTTATTTGGGTTAGGTATTATAACATAAAAGAGGTAAGTAAAATATAGACATTATAGTTTTTAAAAAGTCTTGAAACATTAAAAAAATATTAAAATAATTTTAAACAAGAAAAAAAAATCTCTAATACCATAACAAAAGACAATGCTCAGAAATTCAAAAAGAAGGAAATTTCTCATCCACATCGAAGTTATTATGAAAATCTTCGTAGATGATGTTAAAACTCTTTAAATGTTAATTTATTAATAGTAATTGATGGTTTAAGATGGCACCCCCAAAGCACGTCATTGTTGGCATAAGCACATAGGCATGTATACAAGACTGTGGATAACTAATTCTTCTGTGGCAGATAAAGCTAACGACTCCCCATTGAAGAAAAAATTTGGGAAAGAATATAATTAGAAGATGATGTCACCCGGCTTATATAACTAATAGAGAACCAATATAGATAACCAATATATGGCTAATGTGGGGTGTCATTATTATGCAGATAAGTTCAAAAAGCAATGAAATACTACTTAGCACAGTAATGACAGAGCGTCACATTAAAAGGAATAAGTTTTTATCACATTATACCAGGCTGGTTGTCTCTGGGGAAATTTTGATAAGAGATGTTTGCTTCTCAGATAATTGTGAGAAAATCAGGCACAGCTCTCACTCTCACTAATCTGGAATTTGAGTATCCATTATCTCTCCCACTTTGTGAGAGCAGAAAGCAGAGCAGTGTAGGCCCATCCCTTTCAGTTTGCAGGGATACAGTAGAAGAGATTCTCCCTGATCAAATGGCCTAAGGCCAAAGACATGGGGTTTAAAATTAATGTGGAAAGAATTTCCTAAGGAAAATGCAAGGACAGTGCACTGGAGTATTAACCAAGCAGGCTATACAGTAAGAGGAGAGTGGTGGTTAGGACAGACAAAGCTTGGGAATAAAGAGTATCTGCATCTAGGGGTCTAAGTTTCTCTCTTCTTGTGAAGTTCCAAATAACAAGTAAGTTATATAAAGTCACAACATCTGCTCTCCCACATCATACTCTATTAAAATGTACCTGGCCCTTAATTTAAACAACTCTATATACTTTTGTATAGTCTAATGTTACTGGTCTTAAAGACTAGTGAGTAAATGAC